TGGTGTTACGTCCTGGTTTGGCTGTCTTTAGCTTTCTTCCAACCTACTCCTATAACAGACACCGTCCGTCGAAGTAGGCGATGGTTGAAGGCATGTAACAAATGTGCCAACCAACTCGATTGATGGAGATTTACTACCTGTGTTAGCGGGACATAGACTGGATTAAGGCATGCTCAATGCACGGTTACTTTGGTGCACGTTAATTGGCTAATTCCTATCCAATCAGCAATAGTTGATATTTGGAGAATACTCCAGAATCTTCTCATGTAAAAACTATAAATATACTAACGTTCTCCCTATTGTGCTTTTTATTTGCTTCTTACTTCCATCTAACCTTGTTATCTGGAATATAATCTATTTCCTGTTCAACCGTGTTCTAATTTGGGGACTTGTCGAGTGAATCGGTGTCAGAGAATACTAAGCAATAGGAATAGCTGGTTCATACCGTAAGAAAGAGAGATTATAACAGCTACTAACATTAGTCACAAATAGAATTGTTTGTCACTGGGCACTCCTCATAGATCTACTCGGTTTAAAATTTATTCAAACTGAACCTCTTAGTTTTAATCCAGAGGCTATAGTGGATTATTCTGGATCATTTATTTCTACTAACGTTTGTTAACAACCAAGAATTTATTGGTTTTAAGGCTTGCATAGCCTGTTAGTTTAGTTAGATAACAATGAAAATGGTTGAATGACTTAGATCAGCATATATGACAGCCCGGCACCATAAATCCTTCTTTCTATTCCCATCCAAATATTGTCATATTTCATTTGTAAGGCTTTGAAGAGAATACGACCGTGGACTTTATACTGTCGTACAGTCTCGACAGAGTTTTAATCAAAAAGGTTATAGTCCATTCCTAAAACAAACTAATGTGATTAATCCAAAAAACGTAAGATGGCACAATCAACTACGAATGAAAAGTTCAAGACATGCCTATCGAACATTACTGACTATAACAGTAGGAATACTAAGATAATCTTGGACCGAACTAAATGTTACTGTGTGGTTCGGTTGACCATTGTTGCTCTTTGACTATCAGCCAGGAACGGTTGTCCCAATCCTCACAAATAGATGTTGATACCATTTTTCCAGGAATAAACATATTGTTTTCCAGGTATCGAGCAAATATTTATCAGCTATTACTTTTGCTGTCTGGTAAGCTATTTTGTTCTAGGAAAACCTTTGACTGTATAACGCCGACTGTACCGTTTGGGGTATTCTGTACTTCTGAGAAAATTTGTTTGCCCTTTTAAATTCGAACCAATTAAATTAAACAAAATGTTCGTAGTTTGACAAAGTCAAATGCTCATGACTCAAAAGTACCTTTTACGTCATGTAGTAGAATGTAAGTCCGTGTAATCAGGTACACTTTGGCCTGTTGACCCTCTGCATTTAAGCTAAATGTCGGAATTTGCTTGTTACGGTGGGGATACAAGAAAAATGAGCAATCGATAGGGTTAGTCATTTTTCACATAAAATGATGCAGTTCCGTGTTCTATAGTTAAATAAGAATAATAGTAACCAGCCAGCAATTAAACGAGTCTTAAGTAGTGGATGTTTGAAGCAAGTATTATTGGTTCATACGCTCTCGCTGGTCGAGCTATCAGGCACTAGATATGGGTTTTAGTGTGAACATGAATACTGGGGTGCAGAAGTACCAATGTATGAGTCCGGAGTATGGCGAAACACATGTCTTGGATTCTACTGCTAATTACACTTAAGATGTACCCAAAGACAAAAATGACTCTGTCTATAAAACTTTCCTTATTCCTTTGGTTCCATTGTGCCCTGGTTTCCAGGTTAGTAGACATTAGGTAGTTCAGCTCCTACACAGTGATGTGTATAAAAATTCGTCTTGAAGTTTCAGTTGACTCCGAATTCACTTTGGGATATAATGTTCTAGTATACTTCAACAAGACATAGAATGGGTGGTGGCCTCACATGAAATGGAAAATGTTTCACTGTTACTGAAACAAAAGTGACCTGGATGGTGACCAGACAAAATGTTTTCATTGAACCCCAAAAGAACTTAACAGATTTTCTATCAACAGAACAAGTGGACTCATATAACCAAGGATTTCAATGACACCTTTGAAGTCTGTACTACGCATTAATTGATCACTGAACACTTGGATGCGCTGACAATCGGGATGATTTCGATGTCGTTTAAAACGTAAGTTCAGCCACATCTGGACAGCCTTTTTACTCCTATCTCCTCTCTTAATATGGTGGTCATAAGTTTCAGCGAAAACGGAGACATATGTAATGAAAAAGTTGGGTCGCTAAGGGATAAAACGCAAGCATACTAATTTGGTGAGCTTCAAACGTTCCTGTTGAACTATGAAACTACGGTTCAAATCACCCTAAGGCTGTAACTCAACCGGTGGTTACAATGACCATCAGAGAGATGATCATAGCAGGATCACTCATCAGAGAACAATCGGTCATATGAAATTCCACAATTCGTACATTGAATTTGTGTGGCTCAGAACCAACTGCTAGAGGGATTGAGCTGAGATCTGAATTAGATAACATGCTCAGATAGTTCGTCAGCTAGTACGTTGAGAAAAGCCTGTAATTATTACTGACATTAAATGTAATGCATGCACTTGAAATTTCCAGGTCTGTCCAAAATCTACTCTAGTAGCTACAAATTTACCAGATAACAAATAAAGAAAAAGATCGTGTAAATGTGAAGGTATCACATTTAGAACAATGTTCACAATAATATACAAAAGTTCCATCATTTCATATAAACACCACAAGATTTCAACAACAGTTCACTGATGATCATCAGCTAAGAGAGCGGGTAATCTATAGGACACCTTTAACATAAAGTTCAGAGTGAAAAGGTCTACGAATTAGAGACCACTCCAAGATGCCGTACAACAGAGAGCAAATTGTTAGATATATTACTGCCGTATAATAGAGCCTATATGTACCTTGGGGAAACTTAGAGTTTTGTCCTATCTTTTTCATTTCTTCTACAAAATACCTCATCCAATCAGGCACTATATGTCTATTCAGGATAAAAATACTTTCACGGCCCCGTGAGGATTGGCCACTAAGCGGGGAACAGAAGTTTTCAACCCCTTATATATATAATAATATGATAATGGTATTCCAAAACTCAAACTGTGGTGGTATTGGTCCTCACAACACAATCCTCAAAGGTGAACCTGAGATAACCAACAAAATAGATATTTAATATTTAGCATGGAGAGAAGGTCAACAATGGGGAACGCGGGAAAACTCACTCAACCGGATTGTATGGCTCAGCCTCTCAGACGTGGTCATTCTGCATAACTTTCTTTATTCGCATTAAATACGTCATCCTAACTTCAGCCTAAATATGTTCTTCAGAAGTACTAAGTACCATATTATTAATTGTAATGATACGACGAGTCAATGTAGAAAATGATGGGACTTCCACCTAAGATCTCATAGATTAGGTAGTCACATCATGAAAAATCTACAACTATGGAATTCGGCTTATTACTAGAGTACGACTAATAGTGATTTAGACCATAATTCTACAAAACCACAACTTGGACACGATAATGTATGGTGTTCGTAACTATTATAACTATTAATCCGTAAAACCATCAAAAAGCTACTTATCTTCAGAAAAAAGGCGGTCCATTTAAAATGAATCGGTGTTGTGATATCTTAACCTACGTCTAATACACAGCCTGAATTACCCGATCGTAGTACCTAGGCAATTAAATCCTCCGGTAATATCATCATTATGTGCAGCTAGGAAATTAACAAATACACGCACCGGTTTAAGATGTCATGTAACATTCATGCTATCAGGTGAAATTATTTGAAGACGATTCCCAGAGAAGTGCAAGTAGTATCGGCAGTAGAAAAAATATGTGCAGGAAAGAAAAAGGGCACAGGAATATATCGGAGCTTGGTCTTTAGAGGGATGCAATTAGTACACGCATCTCCGTCATTGTGGACGATTTTGAGCCATGTCATACAAAGTCTCTAATCATTGGTTATGACAATCATGCGGACCACAACCAGACAATCTGAACCTATTGACATGACTGAGCGCAATAGGCGGAATCTTACCAAAGTGACTTCTTATGTCAAACAGAACGGATTAGGAAAGTGAGCTGTATGGACACTCCCATGTAAACATATCACTAGCGCACCACCAATTGACGATAATCAAAGTTCAGTGATCTGCTAAATAACGTAATAAAGGTCCGGGTTAATATACGACTTAACTAGATATCAGTAGAATTTTAATGTTCCCACAAAACTCTCTGAAATTGACTAAACAAAATCAGGTTGGCATTCCACTGAAGATGCCACATGTATTCGGAGTTTGACAAAGCTTTAACCAGTAACAAACTTTAATATGAAGCGTACCCACCAAGTGAAATCAAGAGACAGAAGCGAGGAGGTTTGAAGATGTATTTGATAGGCTACCAATATATCGAGGATCGTCTGATGTAATCCAGCTAGCGATTGAAGGGGTTGTTGAACACGGCGTTCCTACTCGTGACTTGGTGCAGATGCATGACCGAGCGCCTTCAGCTAGTTGAGTCCATCAAGATTAATGTGGTCCGCATCCAATGTCAAAAACTTACAGAGCTATTTATTTTGGGGGATTTATTTACCGCTACACCACTTTTTCAATCGAGTGATCACTGGCTACAGTTTCGTCATCAGACGAGTAGTATTGATGCTATAGATGAGAAATTTCAAGAAAAGAGTAAATCTCCACGAGGAAAACTCCTGTCAACCCCTGAATTATTGTCAAAATCACAAGAACTGGTCCACCTAGTAGCTAGACCATATACATTAGACGATACTAAAGGCGTGGAAACGTACCGTAGTACTAAGAACTGAGCAAAAGGAAGCCAACTAGTCAACACTAGACAGTGGGTATTATGGATCATTGAGTTTACTTTCCTAGATGTTAAGATTTGAAACTTCTATTTAGTGCGCGGCACCAAATTTTATACGTTACACTAATATGGTACACATGACAGGCTGGCCGAAAGGTTCGGCCGAGAAGTTCCTCCATTCTACACCCGTTGCTAAAACAATAACTCTGTAAGTGATTCAAAAATCACAGTAGTTTGCTATTGACTCGAACCTACATGGGAGTTTCATGATGCTTTAGGTAACTTAACAACCTTTTTTTGTACATAAATGCAGTCATGAACTCTGGAGTAACGGTCAAATTTTGATGTAAATAGTCTTTAATAAGAATGAATAGACTTTTATCAATGAGTCATCTTTTTGTACTCACCTGCACGATTCAATTTTCGTTCAGATAATCTTTCTACCCGATCTTATGATTAGTTTGAGGATGAGATTAAAGATGTCTAGCTTATTCTTCTACTTGTGCAACTGAATCCTACAAATAATAACGTTCTGTTGTGGGAGCTGTGTTAGTTTGTTGACATCATAAGTGAGGTTTAGTTGAATACAATGTTGTGTACTGAGCTTTTAGCTGCGTTTTACATAGAATTAGTAATGCTTAACAGATCTCCGTACCGTTACAGCCTCTCATCGATTTTTTATACGGGTGTAAAGTTTATTAGAAAAAACCCCTCTACAGTCTTTCTAGCATCATTCTAAATGTGTGCCCACCTGATTAGTAGATTTTGTTATTCGGTTCCTTCGTATTTGTGAATTGATACATGTTTTACTTATATTCAGATATCATGAGATAATAAATATGTTCTCTGTATAAGCAATTTAAATGACCTGAATCTCTAAACCGAAATAGCTCATAAACGTTTTAATCGAGTTAGTGTCAGGAATATCAAACATGATAACATAGTTATGTCGTTCATCTTTATTAATAATTTTTAGATGATACAGTACCTCCCATTATATCCATCGTCTACAACAGGTTTATAGTTTAAGTTTGTATTTGTAAAGTTCTTCGAGAAGAAAAAAACTACTGGCTGGAGAAAAATAACAAGTTATCCACGTTCATGATGTACCCAGACTTTTCCCACGGATTTTAACTCACTCCGTAATGCTCAGTGTGACAGCTTACAAGGAGAAAAAATTCACTCACTTGTCCTTCGGAATTTACTTGCTTCATCTCCTTGCACTCTGAGGTTTTAGCGCCAGAGGACGACTTCTTAACGAATATGTTTGATTAGTAGAGGATTTTCCTTTTCCTATGGTGAATTTGTTTACAGATGTATTCTATCGCTATTTAATATGGCAAGTGTTCTTACTAAGAATTGTATTCAAAGGTGAAATCACCTAGATAATTAACTAATCTTGTCTATAGTAATGTATGGGCTGATTGTTCGTTTCGAATATTTGATGTTTCATGAATTTTTGCATGAACTCGGTTTTGAACCTTGCTTAATGCGATACAACAATGCATAGCGCACATAAGATTTGCCCCTATTTCCAATTCGTATTTAGATATCCTTTGAAAAGTTACAGTTTTGGCACCAAAGAACCCAATTATGAACGAGATCGGAGTGTTCCTGCTCGATTTCAACGGTTACAGGAGGATTTTGAGAAGTATGGTATGCGTCGGTCAGTTGAAGGAATCTTACTTGTACATGAACACAACCTACCTCATGTCCTATTACTTCAACTCGGTACGTTTTTCAAACTCCCTGGAGGTGAACTGCATCCAGGTGAAGAAGAAATTGAAGGACTGAAGCGATTATTATCTGAGGTATGTTTAAAATATATTACATCAAACCAGTAAAAAATTAACAAAGCAAATGCACATGTCATGTATACAATTCGACTGTCCTTTTCCCTACTTTTGAATCATTGTCAAATGAATCTCTATCGAATTAGGCTTCTCAGCTTGAACAAATTTCCTTGAAAACTTAGTTACTGCTTTCCGTCAATTGTTAACCGTCGATCCACATCGACAATAATTCTTATCCATAACATTTCAAATAAATTATTTTCCAGTCATGCGTAATATTCTGTTTGGATATGAGTAGATATAGCTTTCTATTTTTGTTTAGGGAGGCGGTTCAGTAGTTAAGGCGCCTAAATCTCGACCACTGAAACTCAATTCCAAACCCCGCCCTAACTACCCTAACGGGGTAGTATCACTAACCCTCGTACTTAGAGTGTGGCTCATATCCAAGTACCTGGCGTTTTATATTTATAAAACGAGGTAGGCTTAATACTTTGTATAACATTACTCCTGTGTCCCCATGTGATTCTTTCCACTGCTTTTTGAACGTATTTAACAGTTTGGTCAAATTTGACTAGGAAAATCAAACGATATAGGTTTATTCTACCATCATAATGGCTTTTTCTATGAATGAAATATTATATATATACCTTTTCCATTTAGATGTTAGGCCGGACGGATGGTATCCCAGTTGACTGGATTCCAGAAGACTGTATCGGTAATTGGTGGCGACCGAATTTTGAACCACCTCGCTATCCATATATTCCTGCTCATGTAACTAAACCTAAAGAACAAACACGTTTATTTCTAATTCAACTTCCTGAGAAAACATTGTTTGCTGTACCATCAAATTATAAATTAGTAGCAGCTCCGTTATTCGAACTTTTTGACAATGCCCGAGCCTATGGTCCAATTATTTCTTCCTTACCTCAAGTATTAAGTCGGTAAGTTATGCATGAAAGGTTCCTTTTTATACGCGACATATCCATCTCTCAACCAAAGGATTAGTTTACTGCTCAGCAGTTTACTCTGTTTTCCGGTTGTGAAACATGGCTTTTAAATATAGAGGATATTCATAGACTACCAGCATTTGATCTTTGGTGTCTACGAACCATTGCTCGTATATCTTGGGACCACTGAGTTAGCGGTTCTGAGGTTAGATTCAAAGTTCTAAGTGATTACAGTAAATCGATTGACTAGGTGGTGAATCTTTATCGACTGAGATGTTTAGGACATGACATGTTCTACGTATGTTCACCCATCGACTACCATGACGAGGGGTGATGGCTAGTGTAGAAGCAAGTTGAAAGAAACCTAGGCGTGGGCGAACTATGACATGGCACCAGTTCATGATGACACTGACGGTTGAAATAATTCATGTAGGTAGGTTCAGACTATCTGGTTAGGGTTCTCATGATTGTCGTAACTAGTGGTTAGGGGCTTTGTGGAGGATTTTGAGCCATGTCAAAGTTGCGATGGGTCAGCATACGCAGAACATGTCATGTCCTAAACATCTCAGTCGATAAAGATTCACCACCTAGTCAATCGATTTACTGTAATCACTTAGAACTTTGAATCTAACCTCAGAACCGCTAACTCAGTGGTCCCAAGATATACGAGCAATGGTTCGTAGACACCAAAGATCAAATGCTGGTAGTCTATGAATATCCTCTATATTTAAAAGCCATGTTTCACAACCGGAAAACAGAGTGAACTGCTGTACAGTACACTCGTTCTTTAAGTGTCAAATGGATATCTTACCTGCCCAACGAGTGATCTGGGTTGGCGAGAATCAACTGGGCTTTTTGAATTCGTGCCGAGATTTCGTCCGACATCGACATATCAGGGTTTTCAAGATAGGTAAAACGCTTAACTGCCTCAATCCCTATCCTGAGTCCAGGCGTTGGTATAAACTAGTCGTGAAGCAACATTTCGCACTTAGCGGGCAAAAAGTGCATTGTTGTTATAGCTGTTCGAAGAACTGCATGTTTTTGGAGTCTCTTCCGAACAGAGTTATGTCGTCTGCGTATCCCAAGTTTACACAAACTTGTGGTAGAAGATCGATTCCTGACAAGTCAGATGATGCGAATGCTATCTCTAAAAGAATGTCTATGACAATGTTAAATAAAAATCAGCAAAGCGGACAGACCTAACGAATACCACTCGAGGTTATCAGCTCTAGTGGTAGTTCACCATAAGCGTGTATATCATTCAACTCGTAGTCAGTAAAAAGTATGACATATACCAAATTCAATCAAATGTATATTGATTAGTTATATCCATATGTTCCTCTGTATGATCGTTATTGTTGGCTTATTCTTTGGCTTCTCGATTTTATTTCAGCTTCAACTTTGCATACAACGATTGAGTTCACACATAAATGTTTGCAATGAATATCTCTACGACTCTATTCAGTCAACCAATCAAGTGGTTGATGTCACCGTCGATCTAAAACCTTTTTCATTAATATATACATGCAATATACTACTCGTACATTGTTACTTTTTTAAAGTCGTAAAGATATTGTTTGACGCGTTTTTTCGTACGTTCTCTTACATGTCTTTGTTGTTTGTGTAAATATATTGTCTCGGATACAATTGTACATATGACAAATAATATATCATCAATAATAAATATTCCGTCATTATTATTTATTATTTAAACACATAGACATTGGTACAAGGAGGCACCAAATAGATATGCGCCACATAAATCATTCTGTTTGCGTGAGTGATAGGATACTGTTCGGGTGCCCAAACCGAAGCAGATGGTTTTCTTGAGGGGCCACGCTTGGAACCTTTGACGTAAAGGTCTAATCCACTAGACAGTAGAGCAACGTCAGGAGATGCAGTCCCATGGTAGCCGGTGACCAACGATTGGCTAATGCACCATTTGTTCGCTCAGGATCCTGGACCCCATGTTCACCATTGGTTTGGAATCAGGGTTTTCCAAATCCCCTAGGTGGACTCCGTGTCCACCAACCTGGTTAAAGTGATGGACATTCACTTTTCGTCCTCTCGATTTCGTAAACAACATCCTCACTGAGAGAAAGTAAGAATTCCCTATCAGTGGTTGTATACACGTGGCCATGTGGGAGCATTTTGAGAGAGAGCTGACTCTCCCATGGTCGGTCGTACCAGGAGATTAATTATAATTATTTTTCTAGATAATAAGTTTTCGGGCAACAGTACTTCATTTGTAATCCTAAATTCATTTCTAGATGCATTATGTACAGATATGTACTAAATAAGTTGACCTGTACAAACAAAATTTCTCTCATTTTTCAAGTATTAACTTATACATCATGGATCAGTAAAACTCACATCAATATTGAGAATGTCACTTTTACAATAAGACGTATCTAGTCGTATGTAGTTTGTCTCTACTGTATCGTAATTAGGAATCAGCTTTCTTGTAGCACTTTGACTGGATTTGTGTCTATTAGCTGAGATCTGGATTTCGACTTATTGAAGTTTACACATAAAAATCCTTGACTTCATAGAAGCAAACATTTTACTTGTAAACTTCTTAAGGTAGTAAAACCTGTCAATATTATGTAGCATCCAGTCATTGTTGCATGTTTAAAGTGTCCATTCAGGATGTCAGTTTCAAATAGAATTCATTCCGTCTGAATACTATGATTTATTGTCTTATCATTGTACAAAATGAAGTCATCAACTGATTGAGGCGTAGTTCGAACTCTGTGAAACTTAAAAAATTGGGACTTTTGTTCTTGAACACCGGTGCGTGGCGAATGTATTTCTTAGCCGATCGCAATATGGTAGTTATTCACCTAGTATTAGGAAGTGGAGCTAATTCAGTTGGTTAGACAGCAGATTAAATTTGTTTTTAAATACCGTTCTCCAAGACTAATAAAACGTGCTTTTCTAAATTTTTTGGAATCATGATCTCTTAGACATATTTCTGAGTGATCTCCCAGAATACAGTTTACCTTCATCTGATCAAATATACTAGATTATCCAGTCAGGAATATTTTCTTTAATAAAACTCAGTGCAGACAAATTTGTAGCTTCAAATAGGAATGCTTTTTCATTAAATAAAAATCTTAATAGTCATCTTGTTCGCCGTTTCTGTCTGTACATATATGTGAACATCTAGACTTGGTCGTTATTTTAAATTTTCAGTGGTGTTGTCAAATACGCCCTAAATTTTACCCTGGAGTACTTTGAAATAATGGTACTGACTTCCAGGTTACGGAACTGACTGAGTTGTTTGCAAAGATCTAGCAATTAGTGTCCCAACATCATGGAATGAGTTCATAGTTGTCCCTATCTTTAAAAAGGGTTCACGTTGTTCCTGTAACAACTATCGGGGGATAAGTTTACTTCCGATTGTGTCCAAGCTATTGGCTTCCGTCATTCTTCGTAGGCTGTTCAAAACCCGAGAAAGATTGACTCGCGAGGAGCAGGCTGGGTTTCGTTTTGATCATATCTTCACCCTCCGCCAAATGTTAGAACACCGCCATACTTATCAAAGGCCAACAATCGTAGTGTTTCTTAACATTATGGACGCCCTCGATTCGTTGGACAGGACTGTTCTCTGGGATTGTCTATTGAAGTAGGGTGTGTCTGAGAAGTTTATTAACATCCTAAAAGCCCTATATACAAACACCTCAGGCAGAGTGAGGGCATACAACCACCTCTCTCCATTGTTCCATTCGAGCAGTGCAGTGGGGTTAGGCAGGGTTGCCCAATCTCACCATTCTTCTTCAACTTTGCCATCGATGACATTCTGGAAACAGCTCTGATGGATGTAAGTAATGGTGGTGTGGATCTGTTGCCTGGAGAAAGACTTCTCGACCTTGAGTATGCGGATGATATTGTCTTACTGTGCGATAATGTCCAAGGCATGCAATCCGCACTTAATCAGTTGGCAATCAGTGTCCGTAAGTATGGTATGTGTTTTGCACCTTGGAAGTGCAAAGTACTTCTACAAGACTGGCAGAATTCTAATCCTGCACTCACTGTGGATGGTGAACAGATAGAAGTAGTCGAGAAGTTCGTGTATCTGGGTAGCTGCATAATTGCTGGTGGGGGTGTGAGTGATGAGATCAATGCACGTATAGTGAAAGCCAGAGCGGCTTATGCCAATCTGGGCCATCTTTGGCGTCCTCGTAATGTTAGTCTGTCTGTGAAAGGCGAGATCTACAACAGTGTGCTTGTGAAACCTGTCCTCTCAGTATTGAGGATGCTAGGTGACTGTGTTTGATCATCCTTTTCTCCAAAGGATTTCTAACATCCAGTAGCAACACCATGTTAGTGATGCAGAGGTTCAGGATCGTGTGTTCGGGCACAGCGACGATAATACAATTGGTGTCACTATCTTGAAACATTGACTTCGGCAGTTTGGACACGTATTACGAATTTCGTCCCAGAGAATTCCATGTCATGCATTATTTGATGACTCTGGGACTGGTTGGAAAAAGCGGAGAGGTGGTCAGTGTATGACATGGTGTAGTGGTATGGATGAAGGCTGTCCAGGGACGTTATGGGACATGGCTTGGAATAGAAACCAGTGGCGATCATTCAGTAACTTCATTCATACCTAACTGAACTGTTTCTCCCATTATTATTACTTCACTACCATAAACTAATTTCTGTTCGTTGTTGTTCTTGTTTTTATTATACACACTTTATATTCTCTACCTCTTTGCAACCTCACTGTTATTGCTTGGCGCATATGTATTTGGTACCCTCTTGCACCGATGTTTGTGTTTAATAAGTAAATAAATGACTTAGAAAATGTCAAAGAAGATACGATACTACTTATAAGTAGCTTAATTTTCGAATAAGTTTATAATTAGCTATTGGGATTTGTGTAGATTAATTAACTTTGGTTTCCGTCGAAACTTGACGGTATGTTTGCTTTTCCCTATCATATCAGATGTAAGCGATAACTAGCTAAAACGGACGAAATCCTGTCGTTACAACGAGTAGACGAAACAGCAGCTTCAACTTACGTTAAAAATAACAGGGTCATCGTCACATGTACCAGCTTCCAGCTGAAGAGGAAATTAGGAAAAACGATGGAAGTAGATAGGACATACTCCGAGGAAATCATCGAACTGTATGACGAAGCAAGCACTAACTTGGAATCCTGAAGGGAAATAGGAAAACAAAGGAACACACTTCATCAAGAATTAGAAGCAGACATAAATAGGATGAATAGTAACTGGAAACAACTGGGAAGAATTGCTCAAGACAGAATTGAATGCAGAATCGTAGTAAGTGGCCTATGATCCTACATGACCAGTAACAGGCGTAAATAGTAATAAGATATTTGGTCAGCTATTCAATAGTTTGCAAAGAAGCTTCATTTATAGTGATTTAATTCGGTTATTATCTAAAAATGGTAAAATAAACTTTTGTATTCGGTAGGAAAACTTTTCATGCGCAAACTTATATGACCGCACAATAACTGAGCATTTTCATATTGGCCAATTTTTTTCTGTACACCTATGTACATTTATAAGTGTCTGGATAGAAACAAAGAATTATAGTATCTTTTATTCTGTCTTATATTGTGTGTTTGCTTAAGCCGTCGATTATGTTACTTAATCTATTCAAAAAAGAACAACATTAAAATCAGTGTCCAGATTTAGGTTCAAATATATTCTGTTTTAATTGAAATTACATAACAGCAAATACCGAATATCAAGGTTGTCTGATTGTTGCTGTTGCTTTTTTTCTTCTTTCTTTATAGACTCGATCAAATTTACTTTGATTAAATCATAAAGATCATTACTTTGTTCCAAACCCTGAGTGGTAAAACTATTTCATACTGTCATTTTTTTGGTAATGAATGACATAAATAACCGTTAAACGTTATCCTCGTTATTCCCGACCGTTGTTGCTACCTTGATGTGGTGGTCGGGCTTGCCTATCGTGATGATCCAATCGAGCTATACTGGCTGCAACAATCGTTCCTCAAGGTCCTACCATGCCAGACAGGTCGATTGAAGAGCGGTAAGACTAGAAGCAGCAAACCCAAGGTCTGAGGGCGAAGTCGTATTGCTGACTGTACAGAGGTGTGACGGCAGTAAAGTGTTTCCTTCAGACAATCAGCATAACAGCGATGGTGCCTTCCCAAAAGGAGGGGTGGGGTTAGAAATGGTCGACCCTAAAAATGCACACCTCACCTTATCCCACGGATATCCGTCTCCAACGGTAAGGTCTCAACAAGTACTGGGCTACCACGAAAACTGCTCACAAAAAGGTCGTATATGACCGACTTCAAGTAGTTATCCATTGGGAACTGCGGTCATGCTTTCAGATCACTAAGACCACTCTTAACCCAATTTCCTTTTCAGGTACCTCCAGAAGGACCCTTCCACGGTGTGGGCAACCGGGAAGTGATAACCGCCCTCATACCTCTAACAGCACTCAAGATTCAAATCAATCCTCGTTATTATGCAGACTTAGTCTAACTGGAAACTGGTGGCTTTTATTCAACAAGAAAGTCCATTATACAACAGAAGATTAGTCTACGTTTGTATACTATAACGGATCATGAATACTTCAATAAATGAATTGTAGTCTTTTTCACACCATTCAGGCAAAAATTCACCCGCACATAGAGTAAATAAATAGAATATGCGACAACAGTATTGTGAGAACGATTTACGGGTGAACCCGAGGAAGGTCAGAAAGAACTGAAGATATTCCATCCAATCATCTTTTAGAACAATATTCGAGAATCTCTACGTGTAGCTTCCCTATTGGACAAATGGTATTGCTCTTCAGATTTAGTACAAATAAACTAGAAGCCGATATATTAATCCTGGTCAGCTCGTTAGCATAATGAAATTCCGCCTCTAAGTCATAAAGTCAGGAAACCAAACTATGTTCATTTTAAAATAAAATTTTGCTAGTGACTAGCAGTGAAATCCAGGATACACGTTTTTTATTTTTCGTCACTCGTCAGATGAGTATAGCTGCACCTGTGTTGATATTCAAAACAGGACTCGGACCCTGTGCCCAGGTTGCTATGATCTTCATTACTGAATCCGAATAGCCACTAAATTATTCAGAGGGATAAAATTTAATCTCAATGATAACGGTTTGTATTTTTCCACAGTTAGAGTTACGGACGACAGGTGATCAATCTCTTTTAACAAATATGCATCGTCAGCATATTGTCTAGATACTGTCATTAAGTGGCAAGCACTTTTGGGTGAACTTTTGATGGTAATTAAAACTAGAATTCAGGACGCGTATTTCGTCTTATTTGCACAGACATGTGGCTATCACGACTCAGTAGTTAAGTGGATAATTCAATAGCATTCGAAGCGAACGGTACTGGGTTTGAGTCCCGCAGAGATCATCAACTTTGGGATGCAGGTAAATCCAGCTGGAGAGTTTCAAAATAAGAAGAAACTGGATTCCACTGCTAGTCACTATCCATCTTTATTTTTAAAAAAGCTTGACTTAAGGCTATATCGAGGCAATCCGCACAGGATGCACATATGCCAATAAGAGACTGATCAATTGCAGTCTTAAATAATAATGAGAAGATGCAAGTAAACAACACCGAGTATGTTTAAAATAAAGCCAAAACTCTTGTGCATCATGTTCCTTTCTCATCATCAATTAACGTTGTTGTATAAGTGTAATATATATTATCTTTAATTAGTCATTTTCATTTTAAGCCCAATAATGAATGACCGTGTGAAACAAAGCAGATTAGCGGTGTTGATATATGATGATTGGATTGTTTTCAATGGTTTATTAATAAATTTAATCAATAGTCTGTATTGGACTAAGTGATAAGACTAGGATTAAAAGACAACCTCAACCGTTTACCAGGATTAAAACACAGTGTATAAATTAGTGTAAGGAATTAAGACTAGAAAATCGAGTTGGAACTTCGGGTTAGAAATTAGAGTCAGGATTTTCATCACAAACTGATATCAGTTATTTAGACGTATAGATGAATGGATTTCGTGCCAAAATCCAATAGTCGCTATTGGAAATCTAACTGGTTCATCTGTAAATTATAGTCCTGCCAAAATAAAATCATGAACGACTGGGCAGTTATTCCATTCTGATAGAATTATCCACAGTATTCACCTGTGAACTCATGACCTTCAGGTCTCATACTGACTCTGAGACCTCTAGATAACTGTGGTACCCAATACCTCATGACTTTCCATGATGCTTTTTGATTTCCAATCAACTAAAGCGATGGCTGACAACTACTATTGTTAGGAGTTAATAGATGAAATCCATCATTGTCTTTTATTATTTGATCAAAATAATTTACTAAATATCTTTCTGAATCACATTCACATGGCTGAATTAATAAGTAGTTATTAATAAATGTTGTGACTTTAAGCCCGGCTAATTATAACGTGATTTATTCGCCAATCGAAATACGACTAATACAGTCTTAGTACTGTGCCAAAGCAATGACGATCGACTAGTATGAGCAGCCTAGCGTCATTATTGGTCCTTTGTTCCCTACGCCGTCCAGTTGAGTCTGGAACGCCAATAACAGTTTCCATTATGCAAATCATTTATTTCAAACATACTTGGTTTATATACAAGGCAAAACCATAAAATAGAAAATAACGTTTATACAAAATCAAGCCAAAAAGTGGCTGTGAATGTCGGAGAAGAGCCAGATCATCTACGAAGTTTAGATCGTCCAGCAGCATCCTAGATGTCCACTGTATCCTGTGCTTCCCTTCAGATGTTGACGTCTTCATGATCCGGTCAATCACCAGGAGGAAAAAAAGGGTGAGAATAAGCAACCTTGCCTAACACTGATCTTTAATTCGAACGAGTCTGTCAGCTATCCTCCATGCATGATTTCTCAGTTTAATCCATCATAGGAAGTCCGTATAATATTGACTATTTTCTCAGGCACGCCGCAGTGTCAAAGCCTCCAGAGTGTTGTCCTGTCCACGCTATCAAATGCTTTCTCATAGTCAATGAAGTTTCGCCTCATATCTTTCTTTCTACGAACTAATTCTTTCTTCTTGTACTATATCCTTATATGCAATCTTTCTTTTATATATTACCACCTCTGAATTAACTACTTGTTGGTAGATGCAGACTACTTGGTTGGGGTCCGTGTGACTATCGTAACCAATGGTTGGAGACTTTGGGTGAAATGGCTCAGAATCGATCACAATGGCTTCGGTGTATACACTCTCTGTCTTCCCTTAAACTATGAGATTAAAATAACTTCATATCTTTCTTTATACCAACTAGTTCTTTCTTCCTGTATTATATCCTTATATTCAATCTTTGTTTTATATATTACTACCTTTGACATAACCACTGCTATGAATCCGGTGTTCATCTTGTTGTGCTGATGCGGTATGGCAACCTGGACCGATGCACATATGTGCCTGGTCCTACGTTGTAGCTGACTGACCGAGTCGATATAGAGTGATGAGTTCCATTCAAATGATTGTTCCAAAATGATCCGTAGTGATGCGATTTGGTCTTTACACGATCGGAACAGTAAATCGTATAATAATAATCTATTAGCTCACAATGAAGCTTATAATAAGAGGAATATAGATATACACTATCTAGTTACTGAGTAGTTATACAATAAGAATATATATAGATAGATTATTAGTCCATTAATAGTTCTCAAAAGATACCCATAGTTTACTCTCCACTAGGATATAACAATAAATACATTAATTTGTAACCGACATGTATTTATCCGAATAGATCAGACTGATAACAGTTGTCTGAGAAAATAGCCTCTACATCTATATTAAAAAGTATTGATTTATTACTAATAAATAATCTCTACACTTGTATAGTAGTACATTTACTCAATGGATTATCAGCTCAGTTTTAATTATAATCGGTTGGTATGATGTCATTATCATGCTATTGACCTTGAAGATACAGAATTTCGGACGAACAGATTATGAATTGTATCAAAATGATTACAACATTAATAGGTTTATATTCTTGAAGAGTATTTATTTAATCTGTCAGATAATTTGGATCATAGTCATGTGAACTTTTTGGCAAGACTATAATTTATGAACGAACCAATCAGGCATAAGATAATAGGTCTCGGATTTTGGCACGAAATTCATTTATCCATTTGACTAAATAGAGTTTTGGCATTATAGTTGACGTTAGTTCGTGATGAAAACTCTAAATCTAATTTCTAACATTAATCATTAATTGTAAATTATAATACTAATTCCTCATATTGGTTTATCACCTTTATTTGGTCCTAGTTATTAGGTGGACACTCTAGCGCTACTCAAAAGTAGTTCATAAACTATAGTTTCACCAACTGTTTATTTCATGTTTTTCAGTCACCACTAAATAGCCTTGATTTGTGGTATGGCAACTCGAACTGATATACGTACGTACGAAGTTCTACATTGTTGATGACTGACTGAACCTTGATTTGTAAAACTGAAGCATTTTTTGGGCGAACTGAATAGATTTGACAAAGTGAGTTCAAGGTAATGGCTCATGATTGGGATTGGCTTATAAAAACTGTAGTTAGGGTACCTGAGGTGACTGATGTTAGGTAGTGTGGTATGTGCTTAAGATCATGAATAGATTAGTGTTAGACCACTTAACAATCTCTACAACTCCATACTGATAATTACCATGTGCTCACTATTGACTAGTTTCGTGAAGTAATTCTCCGAGTTCTAGTGAAAAAGCCGTGACCAGTGGAACTAATCCGTGTCAAGTAGGGACAAGTATCTATCTCAGACAATGGGAGATGATCACACAATTTAATGGCCGGCAACTCAGTAGTCTACAGGTTAAGCGTTCGTGTGCGAGACCGAAGGTCATGGGTTTGATTCCGGTTTGTGGGATCGTGGATGCACGCTGCTGATGAGTCCCATGCAAGGAAGAAACGGTTGTCCAGTGCTTTCGGACTTTTAATGGTGGTTTAACATTCATCGATTCATGATTTTAATCAAAAATAACCCAAAGTCTAACCCTCATTCTCATTGCAATAGTAGCGAAATGGTTTCAATAATGAGAAATCATGCCAAGATTATTATCTGTTAGTAGTAAGGGATGAACTAGTTACCCAGATCAAATATAATAACTATCTTCATTGACATAAAAGTCTATAAGGAAGAGTATTTGCCTCATATATGATTCGAACTCTTATGGACAAATTCTTTGGGAATAGTGCAGTATAGGGACTAACTTAAAACAAACGCAACAAACATTCAGTTAGTTTTTAGACAATCAAAAACTGCTTTTGTAAGTGAATAGTTTATGGAAAAAAACAATAACATTACAAAGTGTAAATAGATTTTAATTAATTAATGAATCTACTTAACCCTTTTACAGGTTAATCTACTGTTGATGAGTAATGGCATAAATCGTGATCCTTATGGATATAGATTATTCGTTCTCTAGAAATCTTAAGAGGACGGAACTAGATTTCTAAGAGTCATTATAATGATCTTAGCTACAGATTTCATCATGAACTGACATCAGTAGTTCAAAAATGATTTGTAGTTATGTGGACAAATAAATTTGGTGTAAAAATCCAAGACATGATAGCTTACATCTGATTAGCTCATCTATAATGTATAATGATACCGCATCAATGCTTATATCAGGATTAGGACTTAAGTATATCTTATTCATCCTGAATTTTGCACATAAACCTAACAGCCGTTTCCTTCATATTGATTAGTTCCTCCCTAATCCATGATTTTACCTATTCTACCGGGATAACTTGGATATTAAGACAGAGGAATATCAAAATTACTTTGAGGAATTTACTACTGGAATAATTTTTTGGATTATTCTCGTCCTTTACTAGAAATTATTCACTGTGATCACCTGCTTTCTAAAGAGCTGAAAATAGTAAAATACTCTCAACATCATATAAAAGTCGTTCAGTTTCCTCTTCATACTTCAGCTTTATCATAAACTGATTTCTGTAGACAGCCAGGACGACTAATAGTCTGCTAAAACCAATATGATGCCTATATAGTAATTCTGAAAAATTTCCGATAAATTTTCCTGTTACAGAACACCACATAATGCATTCATACGCTATTATAAGAAGTTGACAATACATTGCGAAGACAATTAATTTAAATTTCAAGCGGAACTACAAAAGTGGTCAGAATATTTTATTTTGAAGACATAGATGAATGATGTGTAAGGATAACCATCCAATTCTAATGTTTAATCCAAGTTCAATATCTAGCATTGTCAAGTATTTTCTTTCGTCCATTTAGTGGAGCAGCGCTGAACCGATCGATGTTAGGCCATCATTAAAAACTTGGAAGGACTGGACGGTCGTTTCGTCCTTAGCAGTAAGCTTTGGCTATTCACAAGTTATCGGTTGCTAATTAAAGCTTTTCATTCATTCCATTTTCGCATTCATACAACAGGCTGGACTTATGTATAGGAAGCGCGTATACCAGTACCTAAATAGGACGACCGCAAAACATATAACAGCTGCCTCTAGATGGAACTCTATGTGGAATTGTGAATATCAAAATTTATAAGGTAGTCAGGTTTGCTTAATTCAACCAAAAGATATATACATCCTTCAAATCATAGACTAAATATATATTTCTATAAATGTTGTACACTAGTGAAAAGGGAGAAATAAGATACTACCATAATGAAAAAGTTTATACAGAAAACACGTCTGGCTCCAGTCGTAAGTAGCCTTGTCAGAATCTTTCTGTTAATCATTAAAAAAATAACTCCCCCCAAATGCCCTGGTATGGCCGAGGGTGGAGGATTCAGCTCTCTCTCGAAATGCTCTAACGCGGCCACGCGCATACAACCACTGACAGGGAAGTCATACTCATTGCCTTCTTGCGGAATTACTGTTGTTTACACAATTCAGAGGACGAAAAGCGAACGTCCGGCGCTTCAACCGGGTTGGTGAATATGGAGGATCCAACTAGGGAAATTGGAAAACCCTCCTTACATTGTTCCACTGCCTTGTGGATCAGACCTTTAGGTCGAAGGCTCCGGGTGTGGTCCCCTAAGAAAACCACCTACTTCGGTTTGGGAACCCGGGTAGTATCACAGCCCACACACAAATTAAGTGACTTATGTGACGAATATGTATTCGGTGCCCCTTTCCATCAATATTTATGTGTTCAAATAAATAACTTCTGGAGAAATATTGACAGTTCTCTAACAATCATTTATTAATATGTTCAGATAGTTTACCAAAAGTTTACAAGATTCAATGAACATTGCAGATCTAATATTTCTCAATGGTAACATTATTTTTAGCATCACTCAAAGTTAATGATGCAGCATAATTTCACCTATCAGCTAATTAGCTTATAGAATGTTGAAATCAAGAGTTTATCACTTGAAAAGTAATGAGACTTATAATTGTATGTTGCTATTTTATGAAGCTTATGGCTTTTTTCAAGGTTTATAATAGTTTTCTTCTACTTTGAAGTGACTTATCTATCCAAGAGATCGGTATATATATTTGGGTTGTTTGTTAGGTAATTAGTAATTTTTCACTATTTCCCCAATTATTTATTTGAAGATATTTCAAGAAATTTAGGACTCGTCAACTGGATGTACCTGCATCCCATAGTTCATGTACACTTCGGACCTCGAACCCAGTCCCGTTTGCTTCAAACACCATCATAGCTTGCTATAAACATTAACTCTGAGATGCAGGTACATCCAGCTGACGAATCCCAAAATAAGACGGAACGCATATCCTAGATAGAGGATATCCGTGGGTTACTAGTGTTTGATCATAGGTATCTTCGAAGCATTGCTCGTATATCCTGGGACCATCGAGTAAGTAATGCAGTAGTTGGAAAACAGGTACTAGGTAAGGATGGCAAATCTATTGAAGTAGTGAAACTTCATCAGTTGAGATGGTTGGGACACGTGTTATGTATGCCCAACCACCGACTGCCTCGACTTACGATGTTCAGTGGTGTAGGAGTAGGTTGGAAGAAAGCTAGGGGCGGCCAGAACAAAACATGGCACAAGTCCATGAAGTCACTGACAAGTGGACTGAGTCATGTTGGTAGGTGTAGACTACTTGGTTGGGGACCGCGAGATGATAGGAACCGATGGTTAGAGACCCTGAATGACACGGCTTAAAATCGTTTGCAATGGCACAGGTGCATCCACCCTTTGTGTTCTCTCAAATTCTAATCTTCTGAATTCTTCTTATCCCTTTCGTTTTTCTCTTCCCAAATTTATTTCACTGGATTATACTCTTTAAATAACATCTCCAAACCCTAATCTTTCCTATTACTGCTTATACTCTTACCGCCTCTACCAATACGGGATTCGAATCAACAACTGCATCTCTATGCTAATGTGGTGTGGCAACTCGAACTGATGTACGTACGTACGAAGTCCTACGTTGTTACTGATTGACTTTTTAAAAAAAAGCTTGTGACTTAAGATTATAATCGAGGCAATCCACATAGGATGCACATATTTGAACAAGAAACTGATCAATTGCAATCGTAAATAACAATAGGAAGATACAAGTAAACAACAACAACAACACCAAGTGAATGTTGTAATAAATAACTTAGAAATTCTAATGAAAATTTATTAATTTTTCAATCAAATAGGAAATATAAACCTTAAAATGGAAGTTTGTTAAGACCTCCTGTTATCAATTCATTTCATAATCCATACAATACAAAATTGGAAATAATCATAACTTTTAATTCTTTTCTTATAACATCATAAAATGTAAAAAAAAAGAAAAGAAAAACAAAGAAAGAAAACACAATCAAAGAAATTCTAAACAAAATTGACTAACAAAGTAAAACAGAGTAGTAAAAACATTGGCAACAACAAAAACAAAACATTTAGAAAAAGTACATAACAACACATGAATCAGAATGTACGGTGATAAAAACAACATAAGAATACCCCCCCACACACACACACACACACATTTTAATGCTAATAGGAATGAAATACCTAGTATAGATTTTATTCATATGACTGTGGACTGTATTATTTCTATGTATGGATTAGTGATACTATAGGTATAGTCTAATTGTTTAAACCTAAGTAAACTAGATAGTGAAAGGGTTCGAACTTACAACCTAGTGATTGAAACTTGAGTATTACATTTTAATCACTTAAGCAATTATAATGTGAATAGTTTATATGTGTATTTATGTATATGAATGTGTATTGAAATGTACCGGCAAGTCTGATTTAACGATAAAAACAGAGAGAGAGAGATAGAGAGAAAGTAAGCCACTAGACATTGAATAAAAACTATGTAGATAAGGCAACTACAACAACAACAACAACCCAGGAATGAGTGAAGAAAGAATGATATAAGACGAAAAAAACTATTCCTAAAAAAGAAGACGACTACACTTAACAACAATCATTCATTCTATTATGAAAACAGTAAGATAGTACGGAATATGACAAAGGGATGATTCTGTCGACAGCATAGAAAACTTAATTACTAATGAATTTCAAATGAACAGTAAAAATTGACATTTAGAAATTATACTCTACAAATAATCTACTTTAGGCGTCGTTATCATCATCATCATTACATATATCCAAGACATCAAAAGATAATCGAATCAAATAATCTAAATAGATTTCATAGGAAATATCAAATGAAACTGAGTAACGAAGTATACTATATCAGTATTATTCAATTTACCATTGTTTTGAATTTGAAATTACATCTATGATCTTCTGGATGATGATGCCTAGAACAAAACCATCTTTCACATCTATAAATAGAGAGAGAAAAAAAGAGAAGAGTATAAACAAGTTTAAGAAACAATAGTAGCTTGTAATACAAAAGTTGACTACTAAAGTTATTGGTAACCTTTTGAATGTTCAGTAGGTATATTGTTGTATCTAAGACATATGAATTTTTCCACTTATTTAATGTGTGAATGTCACTAACTAGAGAGTAATTTTTTAATAGAAATTTCGTTTCAAGACCTGGCTTTCATTATATTTATGTTTTTTTATTCAACAATGTTGAACTGTGCTACACTGATCAACAATCTTTATAGCAAACAGTTGTGGATAACTACTATTGTGGTGTGTGCTACTGATGTCGACAGATATATAAGTAGTATGTATAACTAATCGGAAGTGTACAGCCTGGTGGAAGAAAATCGAAGAGAAGATATTTGGTTGTCACTACAGGTGCTCTCGTTCACTACACTACTACAGATGCTTGAAATAAAATCTGTAGTGAAAATTACAAATGCTATCCACTAAATAAATGAATAAATGGCTTTACGGTCTAGGGTAAAACTGTACTATATCAACGGCCTAGAGTAGCCATTCGAAATTCAACTAGCCGATATTAAATATGAGGGCGAATTCAAAACGTTAATGTAGATAGTTTGTTGTTGGAAATTACAACTTTAATTATATTTCGTGTTTTTAAAAATACATATGCGCCACAAATCATTCAATTTGTGCGAGGGCTTGGATACTGTTTGGGTGCCCAAAATGAAACAGGTGGTTCCCTTGGTAAGCCACACCGGAGTCTCCGATATAAAGGTCTGATCCACAAGGCAATGGAGCAACGTAAGGAGATGCAGCTCCATGGTAACCGGTGACCAACAATAGGTTCACACGCTATTTGTTCCATCAGGATACTGGAGCCCATGTGCACCATTGATTTGGAATGAGGGTTTTCCAACTCCCCTAGATGGGTCCTTCTTACCCACCAACCCAGTTGAAGCGCCGGATATTCGCTCTTTGTTTTCTCAATTTTGTAAACAACAGTAATGTCGCGAGAAAGCAGTGAGTAGGACTTCCTTGTCAATTGTTGTATGCACGTGGCCATGTTAGGGCATTTTGAGAGGGATTGTCGACTCTCCTCACTCGCGGACCATACCAGGGCATTTGAGGTTGTCTGATTTACTAATTGTGAGGTTACTCTAAAAATTGCTTAGACCTGTCTATATAGTATAGTTTCATCAGTTCTAGATTGTTGATGATATGAAATACAAAGTTTCGAATTGACGATTACTCAGTTCGATAGAATTTCTGTCATTTATAGTAATTGAATTAACCAATAAACAGTTGAGTTAACTTGAATATGATTTTGATTCTTCTTAAGTTTCTATAAAGAAAAACTTCCAGACAATGTTGGACTTATTCTAGTTCGAGAGTAAAGAAGAAAGTCAAACGGATAGAACCGGTCTCATTTATTGTATTTAATTAACTAGGAGTTGCAAATAATTAGTTTACTGAACAAAATATGTATTTATCATTGAAAATAGTGTAGATAATCACTGAGTACAAATTTCTTAGAAATATTTAAATAGCTTAAAACTCACTGAGCAATTTGTAGACGATCATTAATTAGAACAACCTTAAGACGTCGGGAATTTATGATAGACAAGGTCAATCGTCCGATTGTCTGCTTAGATGTATATCTAAGGTCACTATTATTATTATTATTATTATTATTATTATTATTATTACAATCATTAGTGAGATTATGTCATTCATAATTATTTAGAGAAAGAGATAATAGTAAATATTTTTAAGAAGCCGTGACTAGTCAAGTTCAACCGGGTCTGTTGTGAAGATAGTAACTTACTAAATACAATAGTGGATGGTGGAGCAATTTTGTGGATTGATTGGAATTAGACATTAGCACTGTTGGATGCCGATTCAGCAGTTTAGAGGTTGAGCATTCGCGCGCGAGATCGAAAGTTCTGGATCAAAATCCCGCGAGCGGGATCGTAGATGCGCACTGCTGAGAAGTCCCACAATAGGACGAAACGGCCATCCAGTGCTTTTAGGTTTTCCATGGTAATTTAGCTTTAATCAACTCATGAATTCAACTATTAAATAGATTTCAGTTTATTTATACTCCGTTAACTGAAGAAAAAAACAATAGAAGATAAACCTTTGAAATGTCAATTAATTCTTCCGTCTGTTAGTCAATCAACTATACACAATAGGTGAATACCGAAAAAAATAAAGAATTTACATGTCCAGGTCAAATGATTTAAGAAAGAAGGTAAAACAAAGAGGATAGATGAAACTCTTATCATGATATGATACTACTACAACTACTACTCTATAAATATAGTTAATGTCTGTCCATGGGGAAAACTTTGTGTCAAAAAAATTAAATAAAGAAGTTTTGATACCTTGGTGAATAACGATATAGTAAATAAAATGAATAAGATGATAAAGGTATACTGGAACAAACGAACTAGTGAGAAAATGTCTATGTTAACTGAACTTTTAAAAGGAAAGGTTAATCAATTAACAGAATGAAAAAAAGCAGATAGTTAACTTCTATTGATACCCGTATCATCGAACAGGAATTACGAGAATGCAGTGGTATGATGTTTCTCTCTCTATTTCTCTAGTCTCATTATCGATTAGTTCGCTTATATTGTTAATAGAATAGGTAGCTTCACCCGTTGCACAAGCAGGTGGCTATCAGAACTCAGTAGCTAAGTGGATAACGAGATGGCATTTAAAGCGAACGGTACTGGGTACGAATCCCGGAGTGAACATCGACTCCGGAATGCAGGTATATCCAGCTGACGAGTCCCAAATAAGACGAAACGCGCGTCAAACTGGATTCCACTGCTGGTCACTATCCATCTTTGCTTTAAAAAAACTTGTGACTTAAGGCTATATCGAGGCAATCTGCACGGTATGCACGTATGCTAATATGATACTGATCAATTGCAATCCTAAATAACAAGGGGAAGATAAAAGTAAAACAACACCAAGTGAATTTAAGATATCAGAATTTATTGACCCTCAAGCTTCCTAAAACCCAGTGTCCAATCAAATATCTATTGCACTCTATTCAATCATGAATCCAAATTCATACAATAATATACCAGAAATGTTTGACCATGCAACATAGGAAATTATAATATGTACAAACTTAGTTGTCAGTGTTACAAAATCGGAGTGATAGAAATCCTGGATGTGTGGTCATAAATGCCCACTAGGACGAAACAGCTGTACAGTAATTTCCAGGTTTTCAATGTTTGTTTAAAATCAGTTCGTGATTTAAACTATGAAAATAAATACTTCATGATAAATCTGTGACAATGAGATATATGACAACGGTTTGAGTTAAACGAAAGCTTCGAAACAGAGAAATGTAAATTATAATCTTTCGTATGATAGTCCCACAAGTTATACTTCAACACAGCTAGCCCTATTACATCACCAACTGGCTACACTGAGATATGCATAAATGTACGATTACGACTGCCTAACCTTATAACTCACATCAAAATGAAGCATCATTTTATGAGGGAGATACGATATGAAAGGCGCCTTATTTTCAGATTAGGATATATCATTATTATTATTGTCAAACTAAGCTAACGTGAGAATCCATACAGTTTTTGGTTGAGAATACGCAAAAATGGTGGCTTATGTATTTCTGAATAAAAATGATGTGAAAGTTGTAGCTGTGAAGTTATTGAAAGGATTGTAAATTGATTAAAGCTAAAAATCTAAACCTTATCGGATGGAAACTTATTGGTTGAAAGGCAATGCACTTAGCGTGTAACCTAACTGTCGTCGATCCTTAACAGCCCATATCATCTTCTATCGAAAGGTTATATAGTGAATGAGAAATGGAAGTGCGGGCGGACTATTATGAGGAATCATAATATCCACCTAACCAAAGTCACCTCCTGTTAGCAGACCATATGTTAGATTAGATCATGTTCCACGCAGGAAAATGTCGGGGTGTGGTGATTAGCTAAAACGTAGTCAGACAGATGAAGATTCCAGAATGTTCTTGTGCATAGATTTCAAATTTACTAACATTTTTCTCACTGTGATTGTTACTTCCAATTTGCTTTGTTTATTTGAAATACAATCTTATTCTTGTTTAAAAGTGTTCTGATTTAGAGACTAGTTGAGTGAAGTGTCTGAAGAATACTAAGAAATAAGAGTAATTGGGTCATACAAAGAGAGATCTTGGTATCTTCCATGTATATATTTGTCTGAATCACTCCATTATTATGTATATATAGCTATGATTCATGTACATAATTATTTGATTTTTGGGATAAAGTTTCCTACATATTCTAGGTCTGTTTACTTCTATATAACCAATTGCGAGAGGCATAAGGAAGTGTTTGAATCGAAGCGAAAATCATAACAATTTACGTTGCTGAAAACCATTATGTTAGGACGAAACAACTCAATGTTTCCTGATTTTTAGTGAATCTCTAGCTAAAGACATTTTTCTGAGATGCGAATTACAGTTTAGTAAAAATCTTAAAATATAGATGAATTGAGAGAACAATGAATCACTTAATATGGGACAGAACCAATCCTTACTACTCTCTTTATCTGTATAAATTACATTTACCTGTGCCAAACTCATTAATTACTTGAAGACTAACTAGCCTTGCTCCATATCTAAATGCGTCCTTACTACTTATCACGTCCTTACTATAAGGCGCATATGTTAAAGGAGTAATCATAATAACAATGACAATAAATACTCTCTATTTAATTTTTGTTTATTTAAACACGTAAACATTAGTACAAGGAGAAACTCTAGGTGGATCCTCCATATCTACCAACCCCAATTAAAGCGCTGGACATTCGCTTTTAGTTCTGTGAATTTTGTAAACAACTTTAATGCCGCGAGAAGGTAGTGAGTAGGACTACCCTGTCAGTGGTTGTATGCACATAGCCATGTGAGAGCATTTCGAGAGGGACAGCGGACTCTTCACACGCCCGGTCGTACTAGTGCATTTGAGGTCAGTCTATCTAATTTTTAAAAGTGGTAAGATTCGTGGCATTTATCAATCCAACCCAACGGTTGTCAAGGACATCTGCTTAGAGCTATACGCATATAATAGCTGATATAAGATGAAAACTTTAAAGTGTTAACAAACAGTTGGTAGGTGTAACTTCAATATCAGTTGATTAAAATTCCATAATAAGCATTATAATGTAAAATATATAGAAATGTACCAAAGATTGTATTGTTTGTCACATAACATATAACTTACCGACAGGTAAAACCGCAAGCTAATCGGGTTCGTCTATTGCACTCATAACATCTGGATTGATTTGAATGTATAGTTGTATTACAAGAGGAAGAAGAAGAAGAAGAAGAAGAAGAGGAAGATGATGATGATGATGAAGGAGACGATGATGATAACGACTGAAGAGAATGTGATGAAGATCTGTCAATGGTAGTATTCGATAAACACATTTGTCGAAAATCATCATTATCATTACAGTTCAAGTTGAATTCTGTTTGTCTGTTATGTCGTCTAGTATCATTTAATAACTTTCAGTAATATTATATTCATTGTTATTTAAATGATTGGAATGACTTCTAGTGATTTGTGGAAGATAATTTTGATCCAATGGTGATTCGAAAGTTTTGCTGTTAAATATAATGGAAAATTAGATAGAAATTTGTGGAGATTTTAGTATTTTAACAGTTGAAGTTATGAGTCGATACAAGTTCATTAGTAACTAGCTCCAAGATAGATTTCCTGGAGTTCTAATGAGAAGCTGTGACCAGTGGAGTTCAATCCGTGTTGGGTGGAGATAATTATCCACCTCAGACAATAGATGAATAGTTGTGCAAGATCATGAATCGACTCAGTGCTCTCAGTTTTTCAGTAGCATCCATCAAACTTGTGGTATGTTAGTTGGTGAACTAATTATTAACTTTTATGATGCATTTCTATAAAGAGATTACTTTTTTGGTCTTTAAGAAAGAGACCACTAGAAGTCAACAATGTAAGACATTTATCAATGATAACAAATGTGTTTATAACTTTCCTCATATAGTCTGTATCCAGATGCTGCTCCCAAATACTCTAATATGTGTGGGGGTGGGGGAGAGTTCTCTCTCCTTCTTGCAACGACTGCATATTCATAACGTCTTCAGAGAACTCCTACTCCCTCTTTCAACATGTTTTAAAAAAGTAAAAGGAGGGAGCCAATTTCGTGCGCATGAAATAAGTTGTTGGATAAGCAAGATCCAGCTATGGCAATTCGAAAACAGATTCCAAACTAATAGTACAAATAGCCTTTAAAATCTTGTGGAGTGAGAAACTTAAGATTAGAAGTAATGGCGTAGTCTCTTAAGAAAAAACATCTAGTTCGCTTTTAGGAACTTGAGCAGTATCACAGCTCATATATAAATATCGATGATCTTAAATAAAAAGGACAAAGATTATGATTTATGGTTTACTCACTGACTACGCTAATCCTCAAAATTTACAATAACTTTAATATACCTCAGCGGAAACCATACCACGTACTATCATTCTCAAATCAAACTTTGGCAATGATACCTACATATCACGTACTATTTGACAAACTATGACTGGATAGAAAAAGCGGCGAAGTGGTCAGTTTATGACAGTAATTTGGGAAACTGTGCTACGTGAAGCTATCGTTCACATTTCCTCTGTATAAATACGGGTTACTTGAAGTATTGCATGTTTGCATTCTCCTAATTGTAAGCTTTTGTTTGGCGCATAAACTATTGTTATATATTCTACTTTTCTCAAGTTATTGTCAATTAATTACGGACCTATCACTTGGTTCTCTTCTAATTAAGGCGTAGTTATTTCTATATTGAGATTTATTATTTACGTTGATATGTGGTCAAAACTTTACTTTCTATTACTATTGTATGGAGTTGAGTCATCAAATTGCATTGTACAATGGAAATTTGTTTGCTTGCTGTGTTCTGTTCTATTCTGGCTATTAATCAAGTGATCGTGAGAAAACGGCATTCCTGATAAACAGGCGTTACGATTATCTCAGTCAGTTGAAACATATCATTGGTCAAAGTTTAGGACACGAGACTGTAGACAAACTAGTAAGTGTGGGGTAGAGAAGTGTTACAGGATTCAAACGATATAGATCATCATGGTCTCTCATTCAATACAGGAGGAAAAAATAGGACACTAACAAAAAAATAAACAGTGGAACTGTACAAAGTTTAACCGTTTTCAAGATATTTCACAAAGAAAGCAATTCGAAATGTTGTAAATCCTATACTTAACTAGTAATTTTTATCAAAATAGAACAATGAACATTTAACTCGTTTTAATTGGCTGCAATTAAACGCAACTCGATTTCGTAATCGTAGCAGTTTGATTAGCGACCAATCAGAATGAAGCGGGAATTATTATATCCGCCATCTTTGTAAACAATGGCGGTCGGCTTTCCTCGTTCTGATTTTTCCGGCAGTTTCTTTTGTGTAGCTACACAATTTAATGTTTCAGTGTGCTGAAATTCCAAGGTTAGTGTAATACTCTAAGTGTTGTCGCAAGTTTTGATTGAATCAGCCCTGTTTGCTGCGGCTACTCATTCCAGCATGCAGTGCATGTCCGACGTAACGCAGTAGGAAGTGGAGAATAAAAATTACAACCAGAGCAAAATTCAAAGCACAATCTAGTTCTTTAATAATAAAGACATCATAATATGACAAATTTTATGACTAAATGAACGTAGACATGACCGTTATTACACCAGGCGATATATTAGGTTTACGTGGAAACGGTGCGTTTAAATCCACTCTTTTAATTTAATTTGTAATGGTTTTGTATTATCATTTTGTTGATATTCAATAATGAATTTTGACCAGTCTTATAATTGATATATGTTCATCTTGTGCGTGTTGCCTTGATATTTCCATTGTGATACACGTTTATACAGAATTGATAGAATATGCCTACCAGCGAAGTCCACGATGTACATTTCATGTCATTTGGGACTTATTGGCCGGATATGTCAGCATCTCAGAGTTGTAAGGTGTATAAAGTATTGATGTTTGGAACAAAAGGTACTGATGTTGTTTCACTTGCATCTTCCCGTTATTATTTAGGAATACAATTGATCAGTCTCTTATTGGCATATGTTCATCCTGTGCGGATTGCCTTGATATAGCCTTAAGTCACAAGCTTTTTTTAAAGCAAAGATGGATGGTGGCCAGAAGTGGAGAGATACAAGTAAAACAACATCAAGTGAATTTAAACTTCATCCCATTGCACAAGCAGATGGCTATCAGGACTCAGTAGCTAAGTGAATAGCGTGATGGCGTTTAAAGCGAACGATACTGGATATGAATCCCGGAGTGAACATCAACTCTGAGATGCAGGTACATCCAGCTGACGAGTCCCAAATAAGACGAAACGCGCGTCCTGGGTTCCACTACTCGCCACTAACCGTCTTTGCTTATAATGCTTGTGATTTAAGGCTATATCGAGGCAATACACACAGCATGTAGACATTCCAATAAAAGACTGATCAATCGCAGTCCTTAACATCAATGAGAAGGTTCAGGTAAGCAATACCAAACGAATTTCAGCTTCAGCCCATTGCACAAGCAAGTGGCTATCAGGACTCAGTAGCTAAATGAGTAACACCAACGCTGAGATGCAGGTACATCCAGCTGACGAATCCCATATAGGAAGAAAAGCGCATCTTGGATTCCACTGCTAGCCACTATCCATTATTGCTTAAAAAGCTTGTGACTGGGTTCAAATCCTTAAGTGAATATATAAACCTTCAGATCCAAATACACCCCACCAGCTGACGAGTCCCAGATTCTACTATTAATTGCATTCCATCTATTCTATTTAACCAGTTTATTTTATTGAAGTAATACACTACTTACTTTGTATATGATGTTCTTCTATTCATAACAATAGTATTATTATTTGGTATTAAATTAAATAAATATTCATTTGAATGAAATTGATTATTACATAATAATTTCATTTGCATCATTAAATAAAATGAATATGAACAAGGTGAATTGATTAATGATTGAAAATGATTGATAATTAATGGATTATTAATGAAATTAATAGTTGAATTATTCAATAATTGTGTGATAGAATTATCACCGGATGAAATAGGAAGATGTGTAATAGTAGTAGTATTGGTAGTAGTATTCAATAAAGGAATAGTATTTGAATTGGAATAATGTCTGTCCAAATGAAAATCATCATCATCATTATCATTGTGAACAATCATAGCAGTTGTCTTATCATTATTACGTGTAGATCTTCTGACATCAACAATAGTATGGTTATTATTGCTATTATTATCATTGTTATCATCGTCTTCTTTTAGACAAGGGAAGATTGAATTATCTTTCAATTGATCATAGGAAGAATTCATGATAACACTATTGGTACTACTAGTAGTAGTAGTAGAAGTAGATGTATTGGTTTTATCAAATAACGAATCAGTTGATTGATAATGTTTAGAAGGTGTTTCAATAGTTTTAAATCCATGAATATATTGAAATGAATTGTTGTTTGAATTGATATTATCACATAATTCATAAGAATTAGTTTCTGGTATGTTTAATTGTTGTGTGGAATTCTGAATAGGAAGTAGAAAATAAGAAATCTACATGTTTTAATTTGTATTTACAATTGATTGATCATTCGGTAGTAACCGATTTGTTATTTATGTCAAGTACTTCTAAGATCTAATTGAATTCTATCTACCAAGTTGCAAGCAATTAGTCAATTGATTCGACTAGTGTGCACAATGTTGAGATATAAGGTAATAGCGGTTGGAGGTAGTCGACAGGAAACCCTACACAACCTAGGTTTTGTAATATTTATTTCTCATCAGCAAGGTATACTTATAATCTTAAAGGAACTAATCCTCCCTGGTAGATTCGATCCCGTGCCACCAAGGTTCACAATCAGAGATGTTACAACTGAGATATTAGGGCTGCAAATGGCCACCCGCAAGAATGAGATATATTTACAATTGATTAACCATTGAATAGTGACTAACTTCATGTATGTCGAGTAATTCTTAGTGTTGATTGAGTTCTAATTTGTACACAAACATATGGATAAATGAATTCTGGTGTTTATTTAGAAGAGAAAAACACAACACAACAAAATAATTATTGGCAGTGATGATGATTTGAACATGAATCAACTGGTTTCCCACAGTTATTCCAACTACTTATTAATTCACATTTCAATGTTAACCGGTTGAAGAGAATCATAAAGAAATCACTTCTCTTGAAATAAGTTTCGTAATAGTTCGACCTGAGTAAGTCAGTTAAAAGTAACACAGGACCTGGTACAAATGTACACCGGTTCAAGTTGTCACACTATATCAGTACTGTGATATGAAACTATCAAGACAAAACCCAGGGTAGCAGTATTAACAATGGAAGTAGAATATATCAGGCAACATTGAGAGAACTAATGCTTTCCATGAAATTCTCAGTCAGACATAAACAGTGAGCTATTCGGGTAGCGATATAGAAATGAAATATTTAGATTGAATAATCACTAAGTGGTCAGGTAATTGGCGTCGTGTTTGTTCCGGATTTTAGCCGAATCGAATTATATCGGCTAAGTTACAATGTGATTAGCCCCCTAACATCAAAACACAGTGCACGCAATCTTAAGTCACATAGATAAGTGGTCAAATCGCGCAGTCAGTAGACAGAATATGATCAGCATTACAGACTAGAACAAACATGACATCGTTTACTCTATGTGTATGAAATCATTTTTCGTAAGTCAGCTTTCTGAAACCGACTAATCCTGTAAAAATGTAAGAGACACATTTTAAAAAAGAAGCTTCGAATTTCACAAAATATTCTTCAGTCACAACTTCAGACATGACATCTTGTCTATTGCTTTCTGATTACAGCTAATAGCTGGGTGGTACTTTTCCATGATTAATATTAAGTCATATTTAAAAAGGTTTGTGTCCTAAGCCTTCAGTTAAATCCGAAAAGCCTGACCTATTTTTTTCTAAAAAGGAAAGATGACACATTGGGTCAATCAAAAATCGCCCAAATGACGAGTGCATGTGATTGGTCAAGAAGTGTCTTGAATTTCCAAGGAAGGAGATGTACATCATTAGTGAAGATATATATGTATTATAAATGGGTCAGTACGCATACATATAACTCGGTTAGCCCATAAAAAATTCATCCTCACTCATGTACAAGGAGCTTGGGTATAAATATCAGTATCAAACACTGAACAACACAACAGTTTTAAGTAATCTAAATTATATCAACCACAAAAAAAAACACTTCAAAAACTTACATAACTCGATGTTATTACCCAACTCAATTGTTGAGGTGGAGTAAACGACTGTTCATAATGATAATAAATATCAGTCTCATCAATATCATTATTATCATAGTCATATAATTGACTTTCGTCCGTTACTGTTGTAGGGAAATCATATAATGAAGGTGATAACAACTGTTCATTGTTATCAATAGCATAACCAAGAATTTCAGCAATTCGATAAATTTCATCATCTGATGATGTGAAACTATTAGAATTAATATTTTCATCATTATTGTCATTATAGGATTCAAATGAATTCATTAGTAGATTAGTTTCAGTTTGTTCTAATTCATTTGATGCTATTTTAGTTGCATTGACAACAGCTGTTACACATATCGATGGAAAAACGACAGTTGGCACTGCTGCTGATGATGATGACACAGATGGGTAAGAAGAGGAGGATGACAAGAGAGACAACAATCGCGTATATTCCGTCTCGTCATTATTATTATTATTAGCAGACTGTGATGAAATGTCATTATTGGAATATTTTTGATTGATTGATGTGCATAAATCATATCTACCTAATGGTCCAGTTCTTAATCCTAGGACAAGAAGTAATAAAGCGCCATGTCCAATATTTACAGTAGATAGAATTGTTTGATCTGTTAATTCAACACCAGAGTATAATAAGTGTTGGTCGTGAACAGATATATCTAATGACATTCAGAAAAAAATAAACAAACGTGAAACAAATTAGCACGTGCAGTAACTCTCAAAGAAACTAAACTTATTTGTTCGTAAAAAAAGGTAGACTAGACAACATGGTGACGTTATTACAGTATCTAGGAGATCCACTCCTATTTACAACTTTGAGCAATTTAACTGCCTTTGAAAAATGAGAAATAATTTCAAGATGGATACACGATTCCGGCTACGTATGTATTCTCGTGGATATGCACTACTGAGGAGTCCCATAATAGGGCGAAACGGTCATCCAGTGCTTCAGGTTTTCCATGGTGGTCTAGCTTTAATTGAAATTAAATTATTTACTTAAAACATTTTTAAGATAAGATACTATCTGGGTGCCCAAACCGTAGCAGGTAGTTTTCTTAGGGGACACCACACCCGGAGCCTTCGACCTAAAAGCCTAATCCACAAGACAGTAGAGCAACATCAGGAGATGCAGTCCCATAGTAGCCGGTGACCAACAACAGGTTCATACGCTATTTGCTCTATCAGGATCCTGGAACCCATGTGCACCATTGGTTTGGAATCAGGGTTTTCCAACTCTCCTATGTAGACCCTCTGTGTCTACGAACCCGGTTGAAGCGCCGGATATTCGCTTTTCGTCCTGTCAATTTTGTAAACCGTAATGCCGCTAGAAGGCAGCGAGTAGGACTTCCCTGGCAGACGCTATATATGCGTGGCCGTGTGATAGCGTTCCGAGAGGGTGAGCGGACTCCCCCCACTGTCGGCCGAGCATTTGGGGGCGGAATTATGGAAGTTAGAAGCTAATCACCCGTAAAGGCTTTGTAGTTATTGATCAACATCTTGTCACAATCCAAATCTTATTTTCAATTAATCAACGTTGCGCTATCATAAATCTTAGTTATAAATCATTTATATATGTGATTTGATGAGTTGTTGAACGGATCAAGATATTGTCAAACTTTTAATGACTCGTCCAAGCTAGTACTTATAATTCAGCCCTACTACTAAGTTACCATTAAGGATTACTAACCGACATAACTGACAATTCAATATCAGAAAAACTCGCTGCATTACCCCATCGGCAAATGATAGACTTGATCTTCTGACAGTAAAAGGCTAGACTAGTGAATTTCATGGCAAGACTATAATTTATAGACGAATCATCCAGGTATAAGATAATAGGTCTCGGATTTTGATGCGAAATTCAGTCATCATAGCTTATGTCAGTTCGTGATAAAAACCCTAAATCTAATTCCTAACCTTAATCATCAACTGTAAATCACAATTCTAATTCTTTACACAGGTTCACAATCCTCATTTGGTCATGGTTACTAGGTGGACACTCAAAGTCAATCTAGCATCGCTCAAAGGTCGTCCACAAATTACAGTCTCACCAACAACGATGGAACACTAAAATCGTATGGATAATCAGATCGCTATCGAAACTTTTCTCCTCATTGAATAAATCTCAAAGAAACTAACAATTTTGGTATATATGAAACAGACAACTACATAGAATTCAATGACAAAACAAGTTAGCCTGAAATGGAATCTTATCCAAGTACATGAAAAAAAAATCAAAGTTCACAAGCAAACAACTTACTTTTTAAGTAAAATATCCTTATTTTTACAGACAATACACTGTCATATGGACTCACATTAAGAGGTGTGACTGTACCAGATAAACCACGGACAAATATTAACATAATTTTAATTGAAGAAAGGAAAGCACTAAACACTAAATCAACTAACAAAGAATCTTTGATTCATATACTGAATGTTTCAGGGTTGTTTTTTTTTTCTTCAAATAATCATCCTTTCAAGGTTAAAATATTCACCAATCGTGTGAAAATTACATCCATGACCTTCAACAATAAAACTTAGAATTTTAGATTGTCCAATGATAATTGCTTAATCTAATGCTAATTATAATATGTTAAAAGATTATTGGTTGATAAGATGTATATTCATAATTGTCCAATCAAAAGTCAATCGGAAGACCACCCACATAAGCCTAGTCAGTCTGGATAGTCATGTGACCAGGTAGATAGATCATCAGACATTCATTATTCCATAGTATATCGGATAAATATATCGTTGTTTTCAGAATGGAGGTTTGTGGAGACTTGAGCAATTTTAATGGTTGATGTAAGCTAGGTCAATATCGAAAACATGGAAGCACTGGATGGCTGTTTCATCCTAGTACAGGACACTTCAGCAGTGCGCGTCCAACGATCCCGTTTGCGAGATTCGAACCCAGGACCTTCGGTCTCGCGCAGCAAACGCTTAATCTCGAAACCACTGAGATGGTATCCAATGTTGTTAATGTCTAACTTCTATCGATCCATAAATGACTGCTCAATCATTCATCTGTTATCTGAGGTAGATACCCGTCTCTATCTGACACGACTTCTCACTAGAAATCTAGTTAATCATCTCGAAGCCTGTCACTAGTGAACACATGATGACTATGTTCAGAATGGAGTTTGTAGAGATAGTAGTAATTTTAATAGTTGAATTTAATGCTTCCAGGTTTTCAATGGTGGTCTGGATTACATTGACTCATGAATTCAACTTACTTACTCCTATTACTCCCATTGGTGCATAAGCCGCTGACCATGATTTTCCAACCCAATCTGTCTTGAGCATTCCTTTCTAGTTCTATCGGATTGTTTTTCATTCTTTTAATGTCTATCTCCATTTCTTGACGTAATGAATCCAATTAAAATATTATTATTTCACAAAGCCGGTTGTTTTTGTCTATCAAAACAGTTAGTTCCGACATTATTACAGTAGTGTATGGTATTTTACTTTGTTTGAATACATCTTTAGATTGTTTTATTAGTATTTATACATAGATACAAGCATCTAACCTAATAAACTCACTTTATATTATTTGTTCAACCCACACGACAATAAAAATTATTAACCCGGATTAGGTTTTATCTGATGTAACATACAGTGTACATCGTACAATGTACTTTTCAAGGTTTCTGAGTTATTGGTTTCAGTGATGTAAACAGTTATGAGGCGTCAATCATTAAAATTAACGAGAAATCTTTTTATGTAAAAAAGCTAATATTAACTAAGAATTTTCTAGCTTGTTCAAGTTATAATCAACTTTTGTTTACTGGTCCTTTGATTTCTCTACGTACTTCGTATTATGAACAGTTGAACAGTGTTGTTGTAATTAGATTGTCATTAGGTTTTATGATATACAGTTTTATGAAATATATGAGACTGATTTGTAAGTTAATGATAATGGAACTCATCACTATACATCGACTTCATAGACTATGAGAGGGCGTTTGACAGTGTGGACAGGAGAACTTCTTCGACACTATGAAGTTCTTGAGAAGATTATCAACATCATCCGGAGGAACTCATACGATGGACTACAGTGTAAAGTGGTGCATGGAGGCCAGATGACAGATGGATTCCAAGTAAGGACCGGAGTCAGACAAGATTGTTTAATCTCCCCCTTCCTTTTTCATCTGGTGGTTGACTGGATTATGAAGACCTCAACATCTGAGGGAAAGCACGGAATACAATGGACAGCTCGCAGATGACCTAGCTCTCTGATCCCATACACACGAATAAATGCAAATGAAGACATCCAGTGTAGCAGCAGTCTCTGTATCAGTAGGCCTCAACATACACAAAGGAAAACGCAAGGTCCTCAAAAACAGCACGGAGAACACCAACCCAATCACACTTAGTGGCGAAACTTTGGAAGATGTGGAATCTTTCGCAAACCTGGAAAGCATTATAGATTAACAAGGAGAATCAGACAGTTGTTTTGCGTTCCATATGTTCTGCAACTGTAAGAATGCTGTCCTTGCTTTGCTAATCTGTGCCTTTATATACTCATCAGATCCTCTTTGTTAATCGATAATGCTGTCCACGTACGTGGAATTTTCGACCTGTTCCAGAGTTTCTCCATCAAGTGTGATTGATTTGGTGTTCTCTGTGTTGCGTTTCAGGATCTTGCTTCAAATAACTTAATTTAGATATTTACCAACGATATTAAAGTAGATCCTAATTAAAACCAATATCCATCAAACAAATATTTACTGTCTCAATTCATTAACACAATTTACAGTTCTATGACTGTTGGGGAGATAAGTCCTAATCTTCTGACTGTTAGAAAATAAGGCTAAGTTCACACATGTGACATGGGACGTTTTTTTTATTGAGAATAGTACAAAAGTCACGCGATTCAAACCGGGTATTTATGTTATTTTCATGTCTTAAGCTTAAGTTAACAGTTTGACATTTAGAACGGCTGTTCGCATGATGAACATAAACTTTAATACACGTGATATAACATCCAATACCATAGAAAATTACACACATACAGTAAACCTTCACCATACTAACGTCATTGAGCGACCGTTTAAGTGACCTAGAGTAGTTTTACCCACTTTATTCAGTCAGAAAACCGGTAACAAGGAGTTACAATGGTCTAAATGACATCATCAACAATAAAGATGAAAGTTAGTAAGTCTTCCTCAAATTCCTGGCAGAGGCTTTGAGGCCGTAACACTGATTCTGCCTCATTTATCGTTACGATGAACGAATACCATCAGACAAGTGGAAAGTGAAAATTCAATTACTTCTTGGATTAGGAAAGAATTTCCATTGCAGAGGTAGATAATAATTATGGATTATCAGTATAGGGTTTTGCATATCATTAAATTTTTGATTGAGATCATAAACCGATTGATGCTAGACCACCATTGGAAACCTGGAAGCACTGGACGGCCGTTTCGTCCTATTGTGGGACTCCTCAGCAGTGAGAAGCCGTGATCAGTGGAGCTAATTCGTGTCGGGTAGAGCCAAGTATCTACCTCAGTAAAATGAAAGATGGTCGCGCAATCTCGCTGATCGTTTGAGGTTAGATATTAACACCGTTGGATACAGACCCAATGGCCTAAGGGTTAAATGCTCGCGCGTGAGACAGATACGTCCCGGGTTCGAATCCTGTGAGCGGGATCCTGGATGCACACTGCTGAGGAGTCCCACAATAAAACGAAACGGCCGTTCAGTCCTTCTAGGTTTTCAATGGTGGTCTGACATCAATCGGTTCATGATCTCAATCAAAAAATAATTATGGATATTTTTTTTATCTGTAACCGATGATGTCTATTGATATTCAAAGAAGAATATCATAATCAGCATCCACACCAGATTATGTTTGAATACATAGTAAGGTACGCTCATTACTTATAACAACAGATCAACTAAAATTATAAACACTCAATTACATCGATCATTATTTAAAATATATCTTAGTATTCCTTGACTTACGGTTTGATTAGCTTTAGGATCGTTTTATAAGAAGAGGTTTCAGATGGTAGCTTTATTCAATACTGTGTATCTGTGACATTTTCAGGTTTATAAAAGGTAGATGACTAAATAGCAAATAATCTGGAACTTATCACAATTTTTCTTCAATTCACAGAACTGATAATCAAGATAAATTCGAGCCTCTGATTTCAAACAAGATACCTACACTTCTCAAAAACTTACTACAAACTCCGCTCCTCATATATGTCTTTCAATATATGTACCACATTAAGAAATATATTACACAAACCTGCAAAATAGTTATCTTAATCCCAATTAGTACAGTCTCATAACCTATTTATATGTATATAGTCGATTGTTTTCCACCGAGTAATGAATCTCAACTTTGCATCTTCCATCATGAGTCGTCTTTCATTGTTTTATAACAATGAATGGTAATTAAAAATATTTGTCTATTGATACAATACATTGCTTTCATTGATAAATTAAATGTCAAACTATTCTCTAACATGTCCTTTCTCCAAAATAAAGTTAGCAGCATTGTGATGTATACTACTTATATCGACAAACATAGGTAGTATGTAACTTACTTACGCCTGTTACTCTTCGCAGAGGAACATAGGCTGCCCGCCAGCATTTACCATCCAAACCTGTTCTGGGCAATCCCTCCCAGTTCTTTCAAGTTGCAATTCATCCTTTTCATACCTGCCTCTATTTCCCGACATATTGTGTTCTTTGGCCTTCCACTTTTCCACTGGACGTGTGGTGTAAACTCACTTGGTATTGTTCACATGATGTTTAAGACTGTAATTGATCAGTATCTCATTGGAATATGTGCATACTGTGTGTATTGTCTTAAATCACAAGCACTATAAGCAAAAATGAATAGTGGCTAACAGTAAAATCCAAGACGCGCGTTTCGTTCTATTTGGGAATCGTCATTTGGATGTACCTGTATCTCAGAGTTGATGTTCACTTTGTGACTCGTACCCAGTACCGTTCGCTTCAAACGTCATCGCGTTATCCACTTAGCTACAGAGTCCTGATAATCACTCGCTTGTGCAATAGTGTGAAGTTTAAATTCACTTGATATTGTTTACTTGAATCTTCTCATTGATGTTTAGGACTGCAATTGATCAGTCTCTTATTGGTATATGTGCATTTTATGGTGACTACCTCGATGGTGCTTTAATTCACAAGGATTATATGCAAAGAAAGGACGAAACGCGCATCCTGGATTTCACTGTTAGCCACTCTCCATCTTTGTATAGAATCAGTTATATTATACAGAAATATGATTTTTACTGTAAATATTGATTCTAGCAAATGCAAACAATGATTTGCTGATACCGTTCAAATTACTTTCTAGTAATGAACGGAAATTTATGGTTAAGTT